CATGGCTAAAGCGAGGGGTATGAGTGTCGAAGATGGTTGGGGTTGACTCCATGTAACGTGTGGGCTGTTGATTTGGTTCGTTGATGTGATTGCAGGTATGTGCTGTAAATCAGATTCTGGATTTGGTTGCCTACGATCACATATATACGTATTATTGTGAGAGACCCAAGTGAGAGTGTGAGAAGTGATCATTACATACTTAACCCTTATATATGTATACATGGGTATACTTGGGATGAATGTTTGCATGGGTTGAAGGGCCCCCATATTAAAGCCCTTCTTAGAAGTTGAGACTGAGGGGCTTAGGGGTGGTCTCTTTTTCTAATTTTGTTTTCTTGTTTTTTGATGATTTTTTTAGTCACACGTTTGGTCCTGGGCTAGGATTCGAGGTCCTTGTCCATGACACCCTAAGCCCTGGGCTCTGCAGGGGAGGGGTTTTCCCTCGCGCAAAGCATATTTGATTTGCCTACCGGGACACTCAGGCCGAGAGCCGGAGGTGCCGCGGCGGCTGCACGGCTATTCCTTCAGCCGTGCAATGTCGTGAAGGGTTAGGCCCTCACGACACGTCAAGTCTGACACTTAAGTGTCATAAGCGGTACTTGGATCCACGAGGGACCGCTTGATTATGGGCACTACATAGTACGCCATCGTTGCGACTGCTTGTGTACGCCTGCATTGCAAGTCGATATGAGTAGGCCTTGCGTCCGCGCGGTTTTATACTAAGTTAAGCGCGCGACGCCTATCCGATTTCCACATTGGAAAGTTAAGGGTTGGCTACCGAGGGGCTAGGAGCGTTGTCGCGTCGTTTGTGTTGTGTCGTTTCGTATATGTGTTGTTTCGTGTGTATGTTTGTTCGTAAGTGGAGTGTGCGTGGTGTGTGGGATGCGTCCTAGTCGACCGACGACAGGTCGAGCTTGGGACCTCAGCCCCCCAAGATGTCGATTCGCGTGCGGGTTCGATGGAGGCGTATTACCACGCGTACCCCCTATGCTACAGCGAACGAGAAACGCCCTCGGCTGGTCCACCTCTGCGATTGCAACTGAGTAGCTTTCGTACTGTGGATCGGTGGCTCGGCGGGGATACGCCCACCGAAGAGAGGKGACAGCTCCCGTAAGGTGTAGGTAAGTCGTGCCTCGCGTAGGCCCTATCTTGTCATAGGGGTTCGCGAGAGGTATGGCTGGCGCACTCGGCGAGAGCGGCTTGTGGAAGCTCCATGTATATTGCGACGAAGAGTTTTAAACCAACTCCTGCGTGACGCGGCCGGGAGGGTCCCGCGCTGCCCTGATCCGGTGCCGGACCGATGCGCTCGACAGATGGCGCCGTTGCCGGGGATAACGGAAAGCCTACCGTTGTCCGTGGGGGAACGACATCCGGGTATGAGAAGTGAATAAGAAAAGGGCATAAAGGAGTGATGAGAAGATAATGAAGGAATATATGAATGACTAAGTATAGGTGAGGAAATTTACCTATCTAAGTAGAGGAAGTATGAGGGACGATCGTGTGAACATTTGGGTGAAGTTAGTACTAAGGGTCAGGTAGGACGGATGGAATAGACCGGTCAAGGTATAATGTTGAATAAGGGAATGTGCTTGTCTTTGTTTCTTATCATGAAGCTTGAAAATAAGAGGCTGTCAAGATGCCTGAAACTGGCGGCGCATCGGGTGCACCCAAGAAGGGCCTGACACTCGATGACCTCATCGCGGGCATCGGCCGGCATGAAAGGAATCTGAGCAATATCCCAAAGGTCTATACTTTCCATTTTTGTGGGGAAAGAGTCTCGGAATGGCTGGAGTGGGTGGAACAAGCTTTGCTCGGGCGGTCGGACATTGTAAAGTTTCAACGCATCCTTCAGTATGTCCTCCACAGCTACCACCAAGAGGTGAAGAAAGTCATAGATGCAGCCCAAGGTAGCTGGGAGAGGTTCAAGGAGGGGATGCAGAGGAAATACCGCCTGGGAGACGGGTTGTTGACTACCGCGGACCTTGAGGCGATGAACAAAGAGGATTTTACGACGATAGGGGCCTTTGTTCAAGAATTTAAGAAGAAGGCGCGGAAGGTCCATGGGATTTCAAAGGAAGCATAGTGCGCCATCTTCCTAGGGCTAATCACGACATCGGAGGCCGTGGAGTTGACGAGATATGGAGGAGGTAGCACCAAGCTCACCTGGGCCACCATTGATAGAGGGGTGGAAGTGGGATGTTTGGACGAGGTTGAGCAACGTCAGGTACGCCTGCAAAGGCAGAAGAGAAAGGAAAGAGATGCGACCGCTTCTGGGACCCCGGGGGTAACAAGGATTGTTACAGACGTATTGGCACAGCTAGGGTATGCAACAGAGCCGGTGGTGCAAAGGAGGGTGGTGACGGCTGTCAAAGTGAAAGGAAAAAAGCCGGTGATAGAGGAGGCTGTTCAAGAGGAACTCTGGGAAGAGGAAGAGCCGGTGCCGCAGCACCTGACGATGGTCCAGCGCAAAGTGCGTAATTTGGCGCAGGGCGGACAGAGATCAAGAAAAGCGCAGGCGCCTCAGGCCCAGGCAGCAGCCCCTTTAAATGTGGCGGCTCCATCATCTAGTACGGGCCCCTCGCAAGGTGGGGCGCCCTCCTACGGACAGTGGCCCTGGCCGGTGATCAATGTAATTGTGCCATGGGGAAGCCCGCCGCCAGTAGCCGGACCGCAAACAAGTATGCTACCGCCCATCTACCCCGCAGCCCAGGCCCAGCCTGTGGCACCGCCGCCGTCACCTGCTCCTAGTTCACAGGGCAGTGTGGCGGGAGGTGGGAACCAGGGGCAAGGCAATTAAGGCAACGGAGGGAGGGGTGGAGGAAGGGGGCGAGGCAGGAATGGCGGCGGAAGAGGGAGGCAATGGAATGGTCAAGGCCAGGGGTACCAAGGCCAGGGGTACCAAGGCCAAGGGAGTCAAGGCCAGGGGTACCAAGGTCAAGGGAGTCAAGGCCAGGGGTACCAAGGCGAGGGGTACCAAGGCCAGTGGGATTAGGGAAGTCAGGGGTATGGAAGACCCTGTTTTGATTGGAGGACGGTCATTTGTCAATATTGTGACCAACAAGGCCACACTATAAGGTTCTGTAATATAAGACGGGAAGATGAGAGGAGCGGGTTGATTTTCTCCACTATGGATGGGAATATCTACGATCAGTTTGGGGAGGCCATTGACAGAAGGCTTGGAGGGGTGAGGGCGGAAGCCCAACGAAGGGCGGCAGCTGGGCCACCACCCCCTGCCATGTTCAGGCTATGGCAGAAAAAGGAGGAACCACCGATTGGGGTGAAGGAAGTGGAGAGCGATAAGGAAGTGACTCCAGGGCTACGAGGAGAAAGACGGAAGAGCCCATAATCATCGAGTCAGATGACGAGGATGAGGAGGAAAGAATGGAGCCTCCGTCCGTCTTATTTGGGAAGATGGAGGACCTGCTGGATAAGATGGGGAGGTACCAACAAAAGTTGGTGGGCCTCTGTGAGGAAGTGAAGGGATGAAAGTCTAACATTCCCAAAGTGTTCCTCTATAACTCTGGCCCGGACTCAGCACCTGGGCGACCCGGAGTAAATGTGGTGGGGTCGTGCCCACAATCAGGGATGAGGGGAAGACCCCTCACACCGCAGGCCCGGCTGGCACATGCAGCGCGAACGAGGAAACAAGCCAAGGTCAGTGCCAGCCAAGAGCCTCCGAGGAGAGAACCCGAATCAGGGAGAAGGAAAGAGGTTGTGAAAGTAGAGAGCGACGATGATGAAGAGGAAGAGGACGAGAAGCTGCGCAGAGAGGAGGATCAGAGAGCGGAACAGCGGGCAAGAAAAAAGGGAACCAGGGGAGAGGCCGAACCGGTCATACATGACGGACCACCCAAAAAGAAGAAATACGCGGTTCGATTGAAAGAGGGATTTGACGTAGAGAGAGTAATTGACAGGCTGCTGGACGGGCATAATGACCTCATGACCTTAAAGGAAATCCTAGCGTCAGCCCCGCGACTACGCGATGAACTGAAGGGGAGATTGTCGCGGCGCCTGATACCCAATGTCTATCTGGGTACGATCCTGCCCAAGGAGGCTGAGTGGGCAGAGTTGGGGACGAAAATGGACTGGAAGTGTGTAGCCTGCGGCACGGTGGATTTGGTGGTGAAGGGCTCCAAGTGTGCAGCAATGGTGGACACCGGGGCCGAAATGAACATCATTTGGGAGGCGGACGCAATCAGATTCGGGCTGGATATAGACCGTTTTGACTGCGGTATTCTGCACGGAGCCAGCTGCAAGGCCGTTTTTTGTAGGACAGCCTCGAATGTGCTTATCGAGGTTGGAAAGGTGAAGGTCAGGGCATGCTTCTTCATAATGCTAGACGTGGACCATGGAATCCTCCTGGGAGGTCATTCCTAAGCAGGACGGAGACCGAGATGTTCAACAAACATGACGGGACTCTAATTCTTCTCTTATGCGATCCTGCCTGCGGGAATTACGGAATAATTACCTGCAGGAATACCGGGCCAAGGAGTATAAGGAACCGGCCCAATCCAGGATCATTCACGATCGAGAAGTCGGAAGGGGAGCGCCGGAGGCTCCGGGCAGAGCCTGAAGCAGGAGAGAGGGTGGAAGCATTTTCCCTTAGCCTGTCAGATGTTGGGAAGGCCATGGACCAGGTGGCCGCGCATGAGATGCCAGATCCGGATGCCATTCAGGCCTTGAGGGAGCAAGTTCTGGAATGCCCCGAGGCAGGAAGGTTGGAGTTGGTATATCGGCTCCCAGGCAGCGAAGGGCACCCCGCATCAACACAAACACAATCTGCAAGTCGGCCTTTTTTAGGGGACGGCTCAAGCAGGGTTCCCAAAGGCAGTACAAGACGGTAGACAAGAAGTACCGCCCGGTTCCCGTCCTCATTACAGAAGACGAGGAAGCATATTACGAAAGAGAATGAGGGATGATACGGCGAATGAGGGAGAGTACTTAAGCAGGGCCATGTCGTATCAACGACGAGAACGAGGAGGAGTTGATTATAGGGGAACCCGACTTCCTACTGCCTCAAGAGCGAACATTGATGGTAGAATTAATGAAGAGGAGGCATCGCGCCTATGCGTTTAGCGACGAGGAGCGTGGCAGACTGAATGTGGACAAGATACCTATGATCCGCATCCACACCGTGCCACACGAGCCTTGGAACATGAGAGGGGCGCGATATCCTAACCTTGACGAGGAAAAGAAGGTGGTGGACTACCTCGACGGCAAGATAACTACACACGTCGCAGACTATTCTAGTGGACCGTATGCGTCCCCGTGGTTTTGCTTCATTAAGCATAACGGGACGCTGCGATGGGTGCAAGATCTGCAGAGGTTAAATGCGGTGACCCTGCGAAATGTTGGAGGACTGTCAAATGCGAATGCTTTGTCGGAATCCTTTGCTGGAAGACCTATAATTTCGCTTATAGACCTTTACTCAGGATACGATCAGTTTCCGGTCTACCCGCCGGATAGGCCGGTGACGGCTATGCATACGCCGCGAGGATTAATCCACATGAACGTGGCCCCTCAAGGGTGGACCAATGCGGTAACAATGGTCCAACGGGCCATGATTCGGGTTATGCAGTCAGTCAACTCCCATATTACACAGCCATACATCGACGATTTGGCAGTGAAGGGGCCGGCAGTGAAGGAGAGCGATGAAGTCTCACCAGGGGTAAGGCGCTTTGTTTGGGAGCATATCGAGGACCTCGAAAAAGTCCTGAGTCTGCTCGAGGAGCATAACCTCACAGCGAGCGGGGCCAAATCCAGACACTTCATAAGGGAAGCGACTATTTTGAGATTCGTCTGCAGCGAGAAGGGTCGGAGGCCGGATGTGAAGAAGACGGACAAGATTACTGAGTGGCCAGTCCCGTTCCACACAGTAACTGATGTCAGAAGCTTCCTTGGTACGTGTGGATTTTGGAGGGCCTTCGTCAAGAATTTTGCTGCTAAGACTGAACATCTGAGGAAGTTAGTTCGTTAGGACCAGGAATGGGTTTGGGGTGAAGAACAAGAAGAGGTGGTAGCCAGAATGAAGGAAGAATTTCCAGAAAGAGGGTTGGTGTTAGAGCCAGATTATGACGCCACAGAGACGCGACCCTTCATTGTTGAAACGGATGCGGGGCCGACTGCTTTAGGGGGAGTTCTAATTCAGGCAGACATGGAAGGAAAGGAAAGGCCCTTGCGATTTGACAGCCGGATTCCCTGTACGACGGAGAGAAACTACTCTCAGTTCAAGAGAGAGACCCTTGCCTTCCTCCATTGTCTGCGAATCTTTCGAAACTACATCTTTGGCAGGAGGTTTATTTTGAGAGTGGATCCGACCGCCTTGGCGTACTCTCTAAGGAATTACGTTCCATCGGATCCGACGGTTGCCAGATGGCTGACGTACATCTGGATGTTCAATTTCAAATTGGAACGGATACCTGGCAGTAAGAACCGGGCAGACGGGCTGAGTAGGATCAACTGGGATAAACAGGAAGGGGAGGCGGTGGAGGATACGCCCCCAGTTGATGGATTTCTAGATCAGGAAGAAGATGTTCATCTCCACATCAATAAGTGGTCGTCGCGAGTGCCCAGCTGTGTAGGCTATCCTGTTTGGCAAACGCCAAGTGGGTATGAACGGAGGGATGAGCTAGTCCTTAAGCCCTTTAAGGAAGAGGATCCCTGGGGTGGTAAGGATGTTCAGTGGATGATGGAGCTAGCGCTGGCCATCTCGCATAGCCTGGTGGAGGATATGAGGACGATTGAGGAAGGAGCTGGCCAGGTAGAACGACATGAGGACCTGATGGGAGGAATGTATCTCCTCGTCAATACGTTATTGCAGGAAAGCCTAGACCAGTCAGGCTCGTTGAACCCGGCAGGAAATGTAGACGAAGTACCCGAGAGCCAGGACGACGAGTTCGAGGAAGCGGAAATTAAGGAGACCTTTCGTGCAGAGGAATACGATGAGATCTACCTAGAGCTGGGGCTTCTTCTGTCATGTGAAATGCGGCTGAGGGATGCAAGCAATAGGGCTCAGAGGATGCTACAGCGCTACTTAGTGCGAGACGGTCACATTTTCGTGAGAAGATAAGTGAGGAATCCCAGGAGAGTCGTCTGCGGTAGGAATTGTCAAATCGACGTCGTAGCAACACTTCACGATGGCATTGCAGGAGAGCATCGAGGGGTACAAGCCACGTATGCCAAGATAAGTGAGCTGTACTACTGGGATGAGATGATGGATATGGCCGGAAAGTTCTGCCGATCTTGCGTACCTTGCCAGGAAAGTTCCCGTTTAAGGCAAGGAGAGCCGCTGCATCCAAGGCTAGAGCGAGAGGTGAGGGCTGTAGTGCATCTCGATCTACTTTTTATGCCGCTTGGGGACCAGGGCTATAACTATATTTTCGATGCGCGCGATAACCTGTCTGGCTTCGTAGACGGGCGTGCTATTCGCACAAGTACCGGGTCAGTCCTTGTGAGCTGCATCGAGGAGTATTACCTACGCTATCCTTTCGTCAGGGAATTCATAATGGACAGGGCATCGGAGTTTACTTGCCAGGAGGTGCAAGAATTTTTATCAAGGTATGGTGTGGCAGCCAACTACACCACGACCACGCACCCCCAGGCAAATGCTCCCGTGGAGAGAGGACATAGTACCATTACGAGTCTCTTGGCTAAGTGGACCGAAGGTAGGCCTAATCAATGGTCAAGATCCCTCAGGGCGGCTTTCTTTGTCGAGAATATTACAGTAAAAAGATCCACCAAGTACGCACCGGCGACGTTGTGGTACGGAAGGCACGCCACCTTCCCTATCGAAAGCTTTCTTAAGACATGGAGGCGCCAAGATCTGGAAGTTAACCTGTCATTTGAAGAGTTGCTTGATATTCGGGCGCGGCAGGTAGGGGCGATAGAAGAAAGGATCCAGGAGGCGTCTAATCAGGTGGCAAGGAGCCGTATGGATGATAAGACTCGATGGGATCAGTCTTCGCGGGTGAGGAAAGTACCCTTGGCAGTGGGAGATGTTGTGCTTCTCTATGATTCATCACTGGAGAAGCAGTAGTCTAGGAAGCTCGATAAGAGGTGGTTAGGTCCCTACCGCATCCTACGGGTCGGAGACTTCGGGGCGTACCAAATTGAGGAGCTAAATGAGACTGAGTGGAAGGATTGGGTATCTGGAACGCGACTGAAGAAATTCGTGGCGAGAGAAGAGGTAAGAGAGACGACCTGACTGCCTTTAGAATAGAAGTAGCAGGGTGTGTAGGTTAGGTAGGATGCATGTTGTATGAGTGTGGTCTGGTCTGAGTTTGCTTGATTATCACCTGTTTGCTTACCCCAATGTGTGCCTGTTGTCTTCTTCGCCTGTTGTGCAGGTCTGACTTTACGAAGACAGCCATGCCAAGAGGAGGGAGGGGGACACGGCCGCCTCGGAGGCCGTTGGGAGCATCAGGAGGATATGAGCGATATGGGCCTCGCCATCGAGAGAGTACTCCGGTATACGATGATGGGGACATTGAGCTATTCCTGGACAGTTTTTGGAATCATGCGAGGCGTATGGGCTGGACCGCAGCCCAGGCAATCGAGAGACTGAGAGGAGTCGGCAGATTCGAGGAGCCCGTCGCGCGGATCCGTACAGAGGCGACGACGAGGCAAGAGGTGGAGATGAGGATGGAGGAGTTGCGACCCTCGCCGGTGGGACCAGATGGCAGGCCGATCCGCATGAAGATTGGAAATACGTTAGACTTCATCCCCGCATTTGAGTGGTTCATGCAGGGGCAGGGCATACCGAGAGATGATTGGATGCAGACGCTACCACTCTGGACCAGGAAGGCGGAAAGGCCGCTGGCTAGCCAAATCAGAGACATGACCCGGGACTGGGAGAGTTGCAGGGCACATCTGAGAGAGGCCTTTCGACGGCCAGAGCCCCCCCAGCCCAGAGTCGAGAGGCGTCACAGGAGTCAGAGGCCGAGGGACCCTGAGCCCTAGGAGGTGAGACCGTCTCGAGAAGGACGGAAGGCCCTAGCCAGGAGAGAGCAGGAGCCAGAGGTTGAGGAGCGAGGGACATACCCTGAGTGTGGGTTGGGACCAGTGGAGTTCCATCGTTTTACTGAGGGTGGATTGAGGAGGTCGCCAGCACACACACAGGAGGAGCCGCCGGTGTCTGAGGGGCCTTTGAGGAAGTTGGAGATGCATCTGGATATCTCTCAGTGGAGAGCGTCGCCTCAGGGTGAGGAGCATGGAGAGCAGGCAGAGGAGGTGTCACGAGAGGAGGAGCCACGAGAGGAGGTGCCATGAGAGGAGGTGCCACGGGAGGAGGTCCAGGATACTCAGCGAGAGAGAGGGCTGGGCGATGTGGGGAGACGTGCAGGGAAGGAAGTGATAGAGGTTGGAGAGGACACGCCCCCACAGACGCCAGCAGTGGGCTTGAGACTCGGGGATGCACCAAGAAACACTCGCCAGGCGGAGGAGAGGATGCAGAGAGAGGAGGCCCCATTACCTTCATCAGAAAAGGCCCCTTCGCTAGAGGGGAGGGCAGAAAGGAGGAGAGAGAGGGCAGGTAGCTGTAAGGAGAGAAGCCTTGATCCTGATTGACAGGCACCTAGCAGCTCATGCCCTGGAGCACCCAGACCTGGAGGAGCCAGCACCTGCAGAGCCGCGCCAGGAGCCGTGCCAGCCCGATAAGGAGATGGAAGCAGAGATCCCAAAGAGGGTCGACCTCCGCACGAGGGAAAGGGCGCCCGTTGGAGAGCCGGCTGAAGAAAAGAGGGCGAGAAGAACGAGGCGGATAGATGAGATACGGCAGGAGAGGCAGAGGTTGGAGGCAGCGGGGGAGCTTCCGGAGCAACAACAGGAGAGGCAGAGATCGGAGGCAGCAGGAACACTCCCTGGTCAGCCACCCAGCGCACCAGCTAGGGCTCCGGAGATTCCAGAGATGTGGAGGGACTTCTGGGAGCAGAGAGGAGAGGAGCTTCCTTTGCCAGTCAGAGCCAGGTTTGGGGTGGCCAGGAAGGCGGAAGTGAGGTTAGATCGTAAAATCAAGTTCCTAGCCAAGACCACTTTTGACCGACACTTGTTATAGGAGGGCGATCTGGCAGGGAAAAAGATGAAGGAAGCAAGCCATGGAGTATGCCTGGAGGCTATGGAGATGGAAATTCAGGAACTCAGGGCATTGGTGGCCAGCCAGGCAGCTATCATCGAGAGCCTGAGGCAGCAAACCCTGGGAAAGGTGGACAGGCCAGAGAGCAGCCGGCAGGGAGAGCAGAGGTAGCCAGGACAAGGATTGCAAGGACATCCATCTGCGGCAGAGGCTCGCCAGGAGCCACCTGTGGGGAGGGTTATCCTGGAGCCAGAGGAGGCGAGAGCACAGAGACAGGCGGAGAGAGAGGCATTCGAGTTCAGAGCTCCTACCGAGCTCGGGACACTGCCAGTGGCGGTGGCAGGCCCAGTCGTACCTTTGGCAGTAGAGGAGGGGCTCCCACCATCTAGCAGTGAGACGGCTCAGGGCTCAGCAGAGGGATCCATGGGCGTGCTCCTTGAGGCGGTGCATACTATGCAGGAGGAGGTGAGTTTGTTTTCACCTGAGCAGAGGATAGAGGAGCCTCTTGAGAGAAAGATAGCGATTGAGGCAGAGGGTGCCATCGAGAGCGGGCTCCAGAGGATGGGCACGTCTGAGTATGGGCCAAAGGAGATTGAGGAGCAGCCCATGGCAGTGCCATGAGAGACACTCGAGAGGAGACCTTAGAGGTTGGACACGCCTGAGTACGTCCCGGTGACAAGGGATTTGAGGAGCAGACTAGGGTCTTGGGCTACAGGATCTGGGTCTGGGGGACCAGTTCCTGGAATGGAGCAGCAGGAGGTCGTTAGTACCGCAGCTCCTCGATCAGAGCAGCAGGAGGTTGTCAGTACCTTGGTAGGATCTCCTTCATCGCCATCTCCTCAGCCCAAGAAGAAGAAGTTCAAGAGGAAGGTTGATCAGTTATGCTTCTATTGCAAGAGGGCCGTGCATCTGGCTTTGGACTGTCTCGAGTTCCTTGAGGATAAGGTAGAACGAAAGGTCTCAGAGGCAGGGGGTAAGATGTATGATAGGCAGGGTAGGATAGTAGAGAAGTCCGCAGATGGACTTAGGGCTCAGTTATATAGGCAAAACCAGGAGGAGTTGAGGAGATAGGGCTGGTTTGTTTATGTAAGTGGGCAAGTATCTTGTGAGGCATCAACTTAGGTTCTGTGTGATATCCTCTTAGACGAACTCTAGTATTCCTACTGAGATGGGGTCTTGAGGATCAGGGTGTTTTAGACGAGGCATGTACATATTTAGGTGGCGTACGCCCTGGCCTTTCAGAGACAGATCTGACATGTATTCTAGGAATAGTTGTCAGTGTGGGTTTGGTGTGGCTTGAGTTGAGTGAGTTATGATTTGGAGACATTTTTTTTTCTGTATGAGACATTTTATTTCCCTGAGTGTATATCATGATGAGGTTTCTTTCAGCGACCATTCTTATATATGACGATCACTTGTCTTCCTCACATGTGTGGTTGTACTATGATGAATGATGAGTTTGTGTGGACAATATGTGAAAAACCTCTTATATATCATGGGAACTGTAAATATGATTGTAAGCAAAACTGTCTACTCCTCGGTATACTTGTGCGACCTGCCCACGGGCAGCTGATAAGGCAGAGTATAAGGGGAGGAAGAGCAGCCCGTCTGTGAAAGGTTGTGAGGATTTTGAAGATTTATGAGCCCTGGAGGCTCAAAATGCTTACCATATTGATTATTGATTTCATAAGTTGTGATGAGGACCCATAAGATGGTCTCTCAGTAATGTTTGTTTATGATGAGCCCCCTTGGATTTTGGAAAAGGGGATGTTTTGTGATGTTGTGTGTTATGATGAGACCCCCTCGAGTTTTGAGAAGGGAAAGTTTGGTTTTATGGAGAGACCCCTCGTGATTTTGGAAGAGGGGATGTTTTGTTTATGATGAGAGCCCCTTGGATTTTTAGAAAAAGTGATGTTTTTTGTTGTTGGGAGATTCACCTTCAAATGGTGAGTAAACTGATTTATGACATGGTGAGTTTGTCTGATGAGTGATAAAGTTTGACAAAAAAGGGTCACTTTTTGTTTGGAATGTTTGAGAAAGTCGCAATGAGTGCAGGGCGAGAAATGTCTCAGGGTGGATGGCTGCTGGCTCTGATCAAGTCAGGGGTCACGGCCTGGTAGATTTAGCGGTGATTTTGTTTGTAAGCGTGCGAAGGATGCCATGCCTAGTGAGGGAGGGTTGGTAAATGCCTTCGGACCCCTGCGTATTGCGCAGTGGGCGAGTTATTTTGTTTTGCGACGCCCCGTCTAGCCACTGGTGCTAATCCTAAGACATATTAAAGAAAGGTCAAGCTAACAGAAAAGAAGTTAGTACCTCTAGGGTGTAACCCCATTGGATGGCTGCTGGCCGGCGCAACCTTGCTGCGGGACCGCGGGGTAAGGCTTTAGCCCGCCCCAGTGAAATTACTCCGCGGGATAGTGATGATTGAGAATTTTTAGAGGAATCATGATTGGATGCTTATTGGGAGGAAACCTATCGTTGCGTAACCAACGAGGGGTACTACCGTTAAATAACAATGCGGTGGACCGTAGTCCTGGTCAGCCAGGCTATGGTGGGCCAAAATGGAGACGTAGCCTTTCTGTACTAGACTGCAGAAAGAGCTGAGTGGATATTAAAGTATACATATATACGTATGTGTATTTGATTGCGAGAGATTTTCTGAGAAGGAAGGCCGGAATGCCTTCAAAGGTCTCGGTTAAGGCCCGCGTCCCTAGTTTTTGACAGGACAAGGGACACCCAACGAGAAGCCGAAGGTTGTCAAGGACCGGGGAGAGGACGATTGGGAAGGTCTTTGGAACTTATGTTGTCAGCGTCCTAATTTCTGGGCGGTGAGAGGTCTGGGTGAGAAGCCTGGCAGCATATAGTTGTGAAGGCATGGTTTGATGGAGGCCTCTACCCTGTGTTTGTCGGCTAATCGGATTGGCTCCTGTTTCGTCAGCATTTGGAATGTGGATGAATTTATAGCTTTCTGATTTGGCGAAGCGACGGGGACGTAACTTAATATGGTCCGGTAAGCTGTCGGTACGAATACCCTTACAAGGGTATCCACCCTGTTTTTTTTGCAAGTAACAGAAAATTGTTTGGTTTAAAGTTTAAGTATACTGCGCAGGCTCGACGGTGTCTGTGATCTATGTTGATAGGATGGTTGACTAGAATAGAGAGTGTGTGGGCGCGCAGGTTTAAGGCGCGCGTGATTTTTTTTCCCGTTTTGATCAGAGCTGCAAAACCAGCGGGGACGCCGGTCGTTTTGTGTTATCATAAACGTTCTGTAATATTTTTGGTAGCCATGTACGTAGGCGTAGGCTGAAGGATGGTGCAGGGCTCTTCGCGGCGCTGGACCACTGCGCCGTATCACTTCACATGGGGTCTCGGACTTAGTTGTTACAGGCTTGGGCTTAGCCCTATAGGTTACGACCCTAGGCTACTACTACGGAGGTTTGGAGGTCGAGGGCCCGACGGGGCTATTCCCCTTTGGTTAAGCGGGCTTGCCATTATTTAGGCGTCGATATTTTTTTGACTTAGACGCGAAGCCGGGTTTTTGTAATCACCACGCCAGTCGAGGACCTAGAGCACGTGCCCCTTACGTATGACTCATGGGTTTCTGTGTGTGCGGGATGCTAGCGAAATTTATCCATTCCGCCATTTTGAAATTACAAGCCTGATGGTCCAACGGGTATGCGAGCCGGTAGGTGATTAGCCCACGAGCGGAAGAAACATGAGTAGCGGGACCCCTTTGTGGGTGCACCGTCCGCCAGCCACGACGTGGTGTGAGAGGTTGAGTGTGAGCATGCCCAGTTGGGCCTGACAGAGGCAAACTGTGCCTAGGCAGGGCGGAGCCAAAGTAAGCCGGGGGCGCTGTGGCAGAGGTTCGCAGCGGTGCTGCTGCGTAGATCGTTCATTGGGCTTGGGTACGGGGGCGGAAGACTAATCGAACCGTTTAGTAGCTGAGCCCCTCCGAGGTTTCCCTCACGATGGCCGGAGCTCGGGCCGATCTGTCGCAGAAGGCAAGGGGGACTGACCTAGACAACGGGCGGCGACGAGGTGAGCATAGGAAAGGCGAGTGGGGTGTGAGGGAACCCGGACGGGTATGTGGGCAGGGTGCATGCAAACACGGGGCGATAACTTGAAGGCGGTGGGAAGGACGTCGGCAGAAGTAAAAACTGTCGGGGGCAGTTTCATTGGGAAAAGAAGGGAGTAGAGGTGGCGCGGGCGTGCGTTGTGCAGATACCATGCCAATAGCAGAACGACGGACGGGCAGCGCCGGGGTGTTGTGGGACCGGCCGCTATCAAAGTGTTACGCAGCGGGAGACAGAAGAAGGTGAGTGAACACGGCCGGGATTTTGCGCTGGGTACATTCGAGTGAGCTATGGCAGAAACGAGCGTAGGCGGGAAGGGGCGGAGAACGAAGACACTACCCGATTCTGGATGAAATCAGGCGGGGAGAGAGTTAAATTTGAGGATACCAGTCTGAGCAAAACGAATGGCGGAGGTAGTCTTGATGAAGGATTMGTAAAAGGACAGTTAGTAGGAAAAAGTCGTGCGCGGAGGCATTCGAAGATCGATATAGCTGTATGGGCAAGATGAAGATTTCGCTCGTTTCTTGATGAAAACGAGCGAGGGAGGGGTCAAATCGGGGGATTTTTTTGATGGCGACCCGGATTATGCAGTCGGAATTGGTAAAAGGTGAGTAGAATAGGAGTTAGTTGAAGGRTGGACTGCGTCGAGCTATGGCCGAGAGTGAAGGAGAGGGGAGTGAAGATCGAGTATCTCGCTCGTTTCTTGGTGAAATCGAGYGAGAGAAGGCTCGATTTGGAGGTTTAGGGCCATGCCRAATCCGATGGCAGGGTCGGATSTTGCRTTGAAGGTGTGGTTCTRGGTAATAAGGAGGTTGCAGCTGCGCCCAAGGGAAAGGGCGATGCACCTSTCCATGTTCTAGGAGAAGATTCCTTTAGTTTTTTTTGTTCCCTTATCAAACAAAYCGGGGGTCGAACTTGRGGTTTTGACCYCGGGCGAATCCGTTTTTGAAGTTAGTTTTAGCGAAGTGTTAGTAAATTAGAAGATAGAGGAAGAAAAGGCTGCGAGAAGCTATGGCGAAGGGGAGAATAACAAGAAAGAAAAATCGGGATGTTAGTTGATTCGTGACGGGATCGGGTGGAGAGAARGATTGGAAAGAGGTTTCAGAGGACTGCGAGTTGGGTGGTAGATTTAGATTTGARAATAAAGGAGTAACTTGGTTGATGAAGGGAATATGGGTTGCGAGAAGGAGGGAAGCTTTGCAGTGAGAATGAATCTGGCCGCGTTTTAGTAGAAGATTTATCCAGTTTTGCTTATCCCATTGTGAAAAYGGCATGAGGCCAGTTGCGGCGCGATGGACTTACCTGTTAGCCGGAGAGCYTKAACGGGAGGTTCRATCGATTTTGTTCCTCCCGACGATCGATGCARTAGCCAGACCTCCTCTCACCGTGCACAGGCCTGAGACGCAGTGTATATCTCCTTGCGTCAGCGGTGGTTTCGTTCGGATCTAGCACACCCGGCTAAACCAAGTAGAAGGGAGGAGCCGACCCTTAGTGCTTGCCAATTTTGCTACGTATTGGTATGTCGAGCTGGCCAGCTGGCTGAAGGGAGAGGGACGAAGTTGTAGTGAGTGCAGAGCTCACCCACTAGCGGGTACTGTGCATGTGACACCAAGGAGTGGG